CTGGACGGTGCAGCAAGCAAGGAGTCCACAAAACCTTGATGGTGCTTAGCGTCTTAGCCTCTGGCACGCTGTTACACTTACACACCTTTTACAAACACAGTTGGACATAGATGTAAGCTGAAGGATATGCATCCGGGATCAGCATTAACGAAAGAATGGATCGATCCAATCTGGACTTTGTGGTAGGTAGGGCATTTGCCATTTGCCTTGCTGCAAACCTTTCCCACAATTGTCCAGCAACATCCTGAAGTCCTGTCAAACAGCTTCATGTATTCCTTTTTGGCGTGGCTGAAAAGACGGAGCCTGACATTTGCCAGACTGCCATCTTTGGGATCGACGTATGATATATATATATATATAGCTCTTACCCCTTGGCTCACGATGATGAAGCAACATCGGCCTGATCCATGTCTTTGCCCTTCTCACACATGGACACAGGCTGGAAAGTTTGTATCGAGTACTTGACGCATGAGTGCAGATCTGGATAAGAGTTGATAGCCCGATTACACGGCGGAAGCTGACGGGCATTCTGAGGGTGTATCAGACAAAGGGGCCAAGACACGTCAGAAAAGAGCTGAAACTTGAAGGTCTCCTTGTGACATCCCGTCAAAGCACTAAAGCACCTTAAGGCACTGCCTAAATGCCACATCTTCCTAACACTGATACGAAAGAATTGGTGGCGGCATGCGCAACACTGTAGAACATTCAGGAGACGCTGCGTGTCAGATTAGTTTGTCTGTGTGCAGTGCAAATGCGTTTTGAGGAGGATTATTTTGATGATGCATCGGGCCATTGGGACCTAGAAGGGGTGAGGGATGACCTGCGCTTGGCCAAAGAGAAGGCCGCCAAAGCATCCCTCTTGCATAGAGTGTCAACTGTTGGGTTGCAATGCCAACATCACAAGCACAAGATTGTTATGTTCTGGAAGAATCACAACAGAGTTATCACATGTCGGAACAACAGGCTGAAATGCTCGAAATTCAATTTGTGTTCAGGCATCTGCTCCGCCATCAGCTCCGTTGCCGGCAGCAGAACCTGCAACATCTCTGGCTGAAGCAGCAGGTGGAGATGAGGCAGAGGCTCTTTTTGTAGAGCTGCTTGCCCTGGACGGTGCAGCAAGCAAGGAGTCCATGTTTT